TTCCCACAGATCTTATTTCGAGCTATTTTCTAAAATCCTATGGAGAAATCTCATTGCTTTTTTGTGGAGGGAACCCATGCGCAGCTTACTTCCGGGTTTTAGGACGCGTCTCTCGTCTCCTCTTCACACACCACACTTTTCGCAGCACACGTACTTACAGCCAATCAGCTCTGAATGATGTGAGATGACGTATGGTGGGGATGGCAGCTCTATGCCCCTATGGTCATTATTTGTTTGCCACACACATTAAATAGGACAATACTCCGAGCATGTGCAGTGTAGTTTTTACAGTCACCATTCATTTAGACAGTGAGAGGGAGGGGCAGGATCGGGTTTTGTCCCACATGGCTCTAAACAGCTCAATAGGCACACACTGTAGACACTAATTAGAAGAACACAGACTAAAACAGCAATGTACAGACTAATCAGATGATTAAACATGATCTTAACATATATTTTATATATATATATGTTTTTGTAATCATTATTTTTAATACTTTCTGCTGACACTAGGTGGGGCTGTCGCCACTGCACACGAGGCCGTAACGGAAACGCGGCAACGGACCCCGCAAATGATAACGGGTCCCAAGTGGATAGATCTGCAAACGGAATGCTCTGGGGGGCCAAACGGCTCCGTGTGTACGCCCTATACGATCATTTTCTGATAACGGTGAAGCCATAGCCCCACCTCTCCCCACCTCTGCTGCTCACTGCTGTACTGACCATGCTACAGATGTTAGTGCAAAATCTACAGCTCCTCGACCACAACCATCAGCAACAAGTGGACATGGAGAATTACATGAACTACATGTTGCTAAATCCACCGCGGGGCATAAACAGAAGGGCAACCATGGCAACCATGCTCGGGGGTCTTCTTCGCTGCTTTTGGTGTATTTTGTGGCAGAAGTACAGCGCCACTTACAGGCCCGGCATATGTACTACAGCGTCTCCAGCGCTCCCGAGCGGTCTCGTGTGAACGGAATACTTTTTTGATATCGTATTCGGTTCGTTTGCGTTTTGTATGCGTTTGCGTGTAAATGGGGTCTTAGTCTCTTTAGAAGTAGCGGTTGTTTGTACACATTACATTCAAATGCATTGGCCTCCTCTGTAGGTCAACCAGGGTTATGGTGTTGAGACAGTGAAAGTCAAACCAAGATTTACTCTCCTTTTGGAACAAGCCCTGTCTGCTGTTCTGGCACCTATGTGACACTAGATCATACAGAGATCTTTGTCTGCATAATTTTTAAGGAAAATCCTACTCATAGTGTCTTTAACATCCTCAATGTGTAGAGACCATTTTAAATGGATGTACCTCTTAAATTATTCAGGTTCTAAAAGTAACCAGAGTATATCCAAATTGGAAGTGTCACGTTTAGTTTTGGGGTTAAAAGTTCAATACGTCATTACTTCTGGTTAGGGATATAATGTAACTATAGTGTAATAAAGCTGTGTAAAGCTGTGAGTCTGTGACAGTGAAGAGGGAGCTGAGGGGGATTTGGTTACATCAGATACGCCAAAGCTCAACAATGTGCATATTCATGTCAAGCTCTTTTAAAACATTGATTTTGAAAAGCATACTAATTAAGCATACTTTTAAACTTTACTATCATTATAAATAATGCAATGCCAACGGGCCTTTCAAGTATATCCACACATCATATATGTCAGAATGTGTGCAGCCTTGTGTGTGTGTCTGTGTACTGTACTGTATGTTTTTGTGTGCACTAACGTACAAAGAGGTTGACAGACACACCCCAAGTTTTCGCTCAGTATTAAACTTGACAAATACGAACCATCAAAAATGTAGCTACGCCTAAAAATAACGTCATAAATTAGTAATCGCTTCAGAATGCAGGCGGCCTCATATTCTTCTTCTTCTGTTTCAATACTGCTCTAAGTGTCAGGGCTCGCTTTGTATTCACGTTGAAACACAGATACATGTATACACTGTGTTATAAATATTGGCAAATACACCTAACATGGAGATAGAGCCAAGCCATATACATAGCAGTAGAATGTGCCACTCATTAGCATGTTACAATAACATCATCACTTGTTTTAGCAAACTTGCACATTGTGTCACCATTGTCTTGAAAGATTTTGTTAATTTCTTATTGCACTATTTTCACTTGTTTTCATGTTTTAACTATATTATATATTGCACTGTTTGAAACGCCTTAGATTTGCATTGCCAAACTAGGTTGAAGCCATTGTGCATATGACAATAAAGCCTTTGAACCTTTGTACAGGATGTGTTTCAGGGGGATGAAGCATGATGCAGCAAAATAAGTGGAGCAACATAATACTGTAATGCCCCGGCCACACGAGGACGAAAACGGCCGTTTGCATTACTGTTTAGTGTCATATAGACCATTCGGCCATACGAGGACGACCGAATACGGCACTAAACGACTGAGGAAACGATAACGGGTCCCAAGATGGATAGAACGGCATACGCAACGCTCTGGGGGGTCCAACGGCTCCGTGTGTACGCCCTATACGATCATTTTCTGATAATGATGAGGCAATAGCCCCGCCTCTCCCCACCTCTGCTGCTCACCCCCGCGTCAAAGTAAACTGCACACTGAATTCAGATTATTTATCTTTCTCTCAATATAGGCATAAACGCGAGTGAAGTCTAATCGGACAGGACGGAGACACGCAGCTCTGCTCACCTGCAGCTCCTCCCGCTGTGATGCGGCGGTGAACGGAGTAAAACACACATTTCAAGTCAGATAATCACCCTTAGCTATTTTAATTACCTCTCAAACTACCTAAACTAGTTATAAATATGTTTATTTTTACTGTCGGCCGGGTCACTCATTACTGGATCAGCTGCTGCATGAGACAGACACTGGCGCTGTCCGAAGAGAGGGAGGAAAAAGAGAGGCTCCGTGTATTTTATTATTATATTATATAGAGTCGTTATTCATTTGTTTTAAAGCTCAATAAATAACAAAGAAGACATTTGACCGGCACTTCTATAATTTTGTCGGGAGGTTTAAACTTTAATACACGTTGACTGGCGAAAAACTCTGCCCGGTTCCCTCGGCCCCCACCGTGGAGAATAAACAGAAGGGCAACCATGACAACCATGCTTCTTCGCTGCTTTTGTGGAGGAAGTTACAGCGCCACGTACAGGCTCCTGCATATGTACTGCAGCTTCTCCAGCGGTTGGAGCTAAACGGAGCTGTCTCGTGTGGGCAGACACTATCCGGTGAATATTGCGTGTGGACGGAAGCTTGTTTGCGATTGCGTTTGCGTTAATCCTATGCGTTTAGCCGTTTTCGTCCTCATGTGGCCGGGGTCTAAGATGCATGTACTGTAGTAGTGTGTATCTGAGTGTGTCTGTGTGCACATGATAGGTGTTTTTGTGTGTGATTGTGCAAGTTCCATGGTTGAAGTGATGCATTAGTAAAACAAATTCTGAATACACACGGACTACGTACTGTTGGTCCAATCATTAATTCTTTAACAGTAGTTGAATATAGAAAATGACTGAGTCATTTGCTTTAAAAGGAGTCAGGGAATGCCTCAGTCTGTTTGTATCTAAACCAGGGGTGTCAAACTCAAGGCCCGGGGGCCAAATCCGGCCCGCAACTTCATTTTATGTGGACCGCAAGAGCTTGCAAAGAATATAATACATTTATTATATGGTTACATGCTACTTTACAGTATATCTATGTTCATTTTAATTAATTTCTTATTTTATAGTTATTTCTCTTTCTTTTTTTTTATCTTTGATTTATCCTTAATTTGATTAATTTGTGTGAATCTGTGCTGTCCTGTTTTTCAATCTTACCCTGTTGCTGTTAAACTACTGAATTTCCCCACAGGGATTAGTAAAGGTCCATCTTATCTTATTTTACAGAAGCATGTTGCCCATAACTATATGTCCCACAATGCATCTCATTTTGTGACATGCCACTGAAGAGACTTGCAATTATTTGCCCTAGACTTCTGCTTTCAGACGTAGTTAATTACTAAGTTATTACCCTATCCAATAATAATCCAATGCAGAGGCAATAATATAATATATTATTTCATATATATTATGTATTTATATATGTATATTTATATAGTTACAACCGGCCCTTTGAATGCAACCATAATGCTAATGTGGCCCACGATGAAATTGAGTTTGACACCCCTGATCTAAACTGACTGGATTGGGACATGTGGAACACGAGGACTTCATCCCTGATCCCTTCCAGTCCCTTTACACAATCCACTTTTACCGGGCATACAAATCCCTTTTATCAACCTGCCACCTCCCTCCATGAGCACCCTTCCTTCATCATATTATTCAATAGATATAGCCTACAATAGATTCAATAGATTTACTCTATTCAATAGATATTCTCTATAGATATATATCCTTCACTATTGATATGTATATCACTATCATGTACCACTTTTTTTTTTAATCTTCTACTGTTGATATGTAAAGCTTCTATTACTTTTAATGAATGTGCAATGTCTTATCTACATGCTGCTGTGAAGTATATCGTGCATAATATGACTTAAACCGTAAAATGGGAGGGTAGTAACATGTGTCTGTCTCTACCCATTAGCTGGAGTACTGTTAGAGAAGAGTAGCAGGTATGTTCTCACTGTTGTGAATTAGAGGTATTGGCAATTAGCTGTAATGGAAAATGTCGAGAAGGCTTTTCTCAATTAGGGCATACGTTTGAAAGCTAAACTCGTCAAGTTGGTTTTCATTTAGAATTTCTCTATGTTTTTACAGTTTACATTTGAGTTTCTTATCTATATTACAGTGAACTGGTGTAAAAGTAAAGCAGTTTGACCGTTCATTTTTGGCTTTTTTCGTAATATTGTTTTTAAAGTGTGGCGTTTGTCTGGCTAATAAAGCAACGTCATTTGCTTTGCTAGCTCGCAGTGAGGCACTAACAAATACAGACAGGAATCTATTTTGGGCACGGTGTGTCTGGTTGTTATTCCGTGTAGTTGGCTGTGATAATCAGGTGTAAAGACATTACCGAGCAGCGGGTATCTCCTCTCTAATCCCCTCCTGCTTCCAGCGCGCAGGGCGAGCCGTCCAGACCGTCCTGGATGTGGAACTTCGAAAAGCGCCACAAGAAAATACGTCGCACCTTCCAGCGACAAGTCAGTTATCCATCAACTGGCGTTTAGGAAGTGCGAGGAGCACAGGTCGACGTCCCTGTAAAGTGCGATGCAAAGAGTCCCAGCGAGTGCAGGTGACACAGGCGGATTAAACGACGGTAATTCTCTCTCGCGCGCTCTTCCTTTCTTTCCACCTCTCTCTCTTCCTTTCTTTCCACCTCTCTCTCTCGCTTCATAAAGGGAAAACCAACAGTGGAGATCAGACGGACCGCGCGCGAGCTGTTGTTTACACACCTGCGTGTCTCGCGATCTGCGTTTGTAATGCGCGTACGTGTGAGCGTGCATGCCGTGCTAGTGTGGACCACAACAGCCGTAGGCAACCTGCTCGAATGTTCAAATAATGACTTAACGTTAAATATCCTACATGTTCTCGCTTCAGAAAGAGACAAACACACATATCACATGTATCAGAATATCAGTATGTCACTTTCACTATAAACTGCACCATATGTGGTCAAACCACAGGTAGATAGATGGATAGATAGATGTATAGATATCTATCTAACTAGCTATCTGATAGATAGATAAATAGATTAGATAGAAAGATAAATAGATTTGTAACTGACCAATGTCGCCCCCTGCTGGCATCATTGGTTCACTGCATCTCTCAGCGTTCTACATTGTTCATGGAAGTAATTACATCATATAGCTTTTTTAAAGACGGTTAGAGTGTGTTTTACACACCCAAACACACACAAAACAATCTTAATGAAAAAAGACTAAATACATTAAAACAGAAAAATTAAAGACAAACACAATCATAAGACAAGGACGGAAATCTACAAAAAGGTTTGACCATAAAGATGGGTTTGCCAGAAGGCGCTTAAACCCAAATCCAAAAATTCAGCAAATCTGATAGATTGGAAAATATATATCCAGAGGGTTGGGGCTAAAACACCTTTTTGTTTTGTAGTTTGAGCATGGGATGGATACAAGTGGAAATGGAACCAACCATTGTTGAATTATGAATTGTAAGATATTAATTTGTTTATTTAATACTCTTATACTAATCACTTCCTGTATTTTAATTTACAGCGCTGAGCAAACAATCCTCCGTGTTTGTACCTCTTAAATCGCTGCATAGCCGATTTATTTGGACTAGATGATCCCAGAGAGTCTAAAGATTCTTTATAACACAGTTTGAAATTTGTGAAACCTTAATTCTATTTGTGAAACATTTTGAAAATACAAAAAAGGAATATGTTGCAACTTTGTTTATATCTATAGACCACTTTAGACCAGGTCCTGATCGAAAACCACTATACCTACTCATCAAATCTGGACTGGATTATCCCAGAGAGTCTAAACATTCTTTTAAAATGGCAGTGTCAACATAAATACCACTACTGTAAAAAAAAAAAACATCAGTAAGAACATTTTTGAACAAATGCCTTATAAACAACATTTAGAAAACAAACTGTACTATTAAAACATTTTTAAATGTGCATTAAGACCATTTTTTAAATATACATCAGTAAGAACATTTAAAAAAATGTGCATTAACAGCCTTTTTAAAAATATACATCAGTAAGAACATTTAGAAAATATGCAGCAATAGCTAAATGTGGGGATTGTGTTTTGCCTCTTGAAATAGTCCTGTGAGGTAGGTGCATGCTTCACTTCAGGAATCTTCTGGTTCTATTTCGTATAAGGCAGGGGTGGGGAACCTTTTTCCTCTCAAGGGCCATTTCAATTTTTACAATATCCTCAGAGGGCCGTACAAATTATTGACCTCTGCTTAAAAATACTAAAATCACAGCCCACTCATTTCATTCTGTGCAAAGAAAAAGCAACCTTTTAATCCAGATATCTCACCATGACTCGCGCATGCATGCACGTGCACGGTGTGGCGTGACCACCAAAACAGAAAGATATGGACACAAGATGTGTGCAAATGTATTTAGTTTCCTATCCATGTGAACATGATTTAAGTGGGGGGGGGACCTAACCTCCTCTAGTGCCCCTTTCACACCAGCGCGTTTTCAGCTCCGGCTCGGAGCTGGAGCCTGAAAAGCGCAGTTTTTTTCTGTTCACACCGCAGCGGCGCCGGCTCTTAGCTCCGGAATCGGGTTCACTTCCAGCTCCAAAAAATTGTCGGTCTAGAGGCAAGAGCTTCGGAGCTAAGAGCTGGCGTCGCTTACGTCTCTCTTACGTCGAGGCGTGCAGGAAACTAAACCCTCCTCCCCTGAACATGGGTCGACTGTCATGCCTGCCTACAAGCAGAGTGCTTATAAACACACTTTATAAAGTCAGGCAACACTAACCAGGCTTCGTGTGATTCTGTTTATTTGTACCTTACTTTGACCATCCGTTCACTGTTATTGATCATTGTGGAGAGAGGCAGACGTTTTGTTTGTATTATAGCAGCTATCGGATGGAATCAATACATGGGCTGCACAGGTTGTCGTGTCCGACTATCACAAGTAGAATCATAATAAAAATACGCCGGTAAAATGTGCCTGTAGAAAACGGTTTATGCCACAATAGGATAGCAATAGCAAGTAGTCAGTTTAGCTTCGGTTGCTATGCTAACATCACCCATTTTATACCAGAGAAACTTTCATAACAGCGTTGTGATACCAAACAGCGTCAATTCAGACTGACACACATTCACTTAGGCTAAGGGGAACTGGGGATATGTATCAGCTGCTTGTGTGAGTCGGACAGTGAATACTTTAGAGCGGCCGCTGCAGTGTGAGCTAACCGGGAGCTAACGGAGGAGAATAAACTCCCGTGGAAGAGCAGCCAACACTGCAGCGGTCGGTAAATGTTGCAGAAACACATTAATAAACAATGAACCACGGCACTCTGGAGCAAAGTATAAGATTGGAGAAGTCGTTATTCAATTTAATCTGGCTTCGTGTGATTAAAAGCAACACGATCATCGACCCGACGCAGTTCCCCGTTGTTGTTGTGAGCGCCGTAATGCCGTTGGGGAGCAAATCAGCGATGTAAACGATGACGTCATGACGCAGCAGCGGCAGCACCAGTCGGGTGCTGGGCGGTGTGAACAGAGCGGGAGCAGAAAAGGGAAACCGGAGCTGAACCAGAAAAGCTCCCGCTCGGAGCTAGAAAGGGAAAAGCACTGGTGTGAAAGCCGCATAGGGGGGTCCGGGGGCATGCTCCCCCGGGAAGATTTGTTTTTAAATGTTGAAGTTAAAAGCATCAATCTGGTGCACTTTGAGAGCAACATTAGGAGATCTATGGATACATCTCTCAACACCCATATGAAACAGAACTGGAAGCAGATTTATTTCAAACTGTATTCTTCTTTATTAATAACAACTTTTTTTTACTGTCATATAGTATTTTATACCTGTTTACTTTATTCTCTTATTTTTTTATAACTATAATGATCATATAAAGATGTGCCTTTACCTCACTGGTTGGAGAAAAAGCTTCTTATATTTGTTAGCATAGCTAGCTAACCAGATGCTAATAACAACAAAGTTATTGACTGTATGATCAGGATGACAGATGAACAGATCGCCACTGGGCTTTCAACTAAAGACACAGACACGCAAAAACTGCAGCATGTGTACGGCTCCCTATCGGTACTGCAATTTCTGAAGTGCTGGAGTGGCGTTCTGGTGCTCTCCGTCAGAACTACACCCCTGTCAGTCGAGACATATACCACGTGATGACACGTTAGGCTCGTGTTGTGTTCAAGGACCCTGACAGGAAACCTGCCAGGAAAAACAGGTACTCGCTTGTTTAATTTCTTGCGGTCTAGATTTCTTACATTTTTTTCTTTTTTGCGTGTGTTTATAAATTACCTCGAGGGCCGTACCAAATTGTCTCGCGGGCCGGAGGCCGGAGGTTCCCCACCCCTGGTATAAGGCTTCGCCCTCTAAGGCTATCGCTGTTGGGTAATCCCACTGCACGTGTGCAGCACTGACAGACTTAATCCACGCCCACCTATAGGCCCCACCTACGGACTCACTTCCGTATAAATAGGAAGTAGTGCCTACAATCTGCTCCCACTTTTCTTCAGCACTCCATTGCAGAAGCACTGTACAGGCACAAGCTCTTTTCAGAGCTGTTTACTAGAAAGCAAACATTTCCCCCTGGCCCCATCCTCCCTCTCCTCCGGACGGGGGAGACAGGGCGGGGCTCGGTGTTAGCCGACATATGAATTACGACCGGCTGTGGCTGGCTCGCTCCAGGGAGGAAGCGGCTTTACACAGACGATACAGGTGAGTCCTGCGCAGTGGCGTTTTCTCCCGGAGGCCAAGGGAAGCCAGGCTTCCCCTGTTTTTTCGGATTGTAGTTATAATTTAAATAAATAAATAAAAACACTTTGTTTTGTTTCGATAATTCTCCTTTGTTGTGTGTTGCTGCCGGCCCGTCCCTCCCCCATTCTCATTGAGTATTTTACAAAGAGTGAAACAAACAGCGCCCCTCTAGATGTTATGGTGAAACAGTAGATTGCACTCTCTGTTGCGAGAGGAGGCCAGCCGAATCTGGCTTCCTTTGGTGAAAAAAAATGGAGGGATTGACCAATCAGATGAGGCCCACGTGATGCCCCTACCAACCTGTGATTGGTCAGGGCCATGCCAAGGGAAGCCAGCCGCCTCTTGCTTCCCTTCAGAGGCGGCTGGCGGCTGGCGATTTGATTGGACACAATGATACCGGGCGCTGTAATCACTCATCTGGTTACGTTATTGACCGCCCCCCGACCCAAAAAATGGGCTTCCCCTAAATTTTTCCCCAAGCCACGCTACTGGTCCTGCCGGGGATTGAAGCACGCAAATGCGGCTCTCAATCCCCAGGTGTCGTGCACTCATTGTGTCCGTCTTCCTCTGCCCCACAGACTGCGGAGAGCGAATGCTCTCGCGGCTGCGGCCGGGGATGATTGGCCAAGCCCTTGATTATTGGATCCGAGTGGCGGGCAGCAGTCAGGCGACTCCTTCCCCTCCATTCACGGATCACCATGTGGTTCCCCCGGCCCCATCCTCCCTCTCCTCCGGACGGGGGAGACAGGGCGGGGCCCTGTGTCGGCCCGGCAGCCGAGCCTATAGTTCGGCTGCCGGGCTGACACTATCCGCCATTTCGGCTCTGCCGTATAGGCGGTATTCTCCAGGAACTCCCGGAGATCATCGGAAAGGCAGCCGCCTAATGAGATCTCCCCGTTCCCCCGGTTCAAGAGAGCTCTCCTCCGGATGTCATAAGCGGCTGCCTCATAGCTTGTCGGTTATTAGGCAACAGGGCTCGCGGCACAAACCGGCTGTCTTTAAAACCT